TGTAATGGTTGTTGCAGCCTTAGTCGCCACTAAAAACCACATATAACTTTTAGTGGCAATATTTTGAGATTTTTGACGGCTTTTATCGCCGCTAAAGGTTTAGTTCTTTTGTAGTGAATTCAAGTTGACAACACTTAGATGGAGAAATTAGTCTCATGTGACTTGTCACATCACTAAAATTTGAATAATTAACTCTTGAGGGTATTTTTGGTCCCTTGAAATAACGGCGGGGATATTTTTTAATCCCAAAATGTAATGAAGGGTATAAATAATCTGTTTCGCATAATTTAGAGATATTTTTTTATCTCCATAAATAATAAGTGAAGCCATAACTCGATACTAAAGAATCTTGAGTTGGAAATCAAAATAAGCCACAAAAATATAAAAATAACCAAAATAAGCCACTATTTTAGTAAGTAACTAAAATAAGCTTAGTGGAAGAAAAAGTTCCACTATATCTAATAATTTAAACGTTTTCCGTTAGTTTGATAACGTTTATTTTTAATATATAACGAAACTTTTTCTTACACTTTATAAATTGGAGTTTTTTCTTCCACTTTATAAAGTGGAACTTTTTATTCCATTTTATAAAGTGGAACTTTTTATTCCACTTTATAAAGTAGAACTTTTTATTACACTTTATAAGAAGAATATTTTTCACGTCTTGAAGAAGTTTTTTCAGTGTTGTCATATAAATTATATTGATTTGATATGTCATTAAAACGAAAAAAAATATTTCATTATGTATTTTTATTATTTTATTCTAAAAAATCTATTTAAGGACGTTTCTACATAGTTAATAGCACCTACAACATAAAGTCTTCTATATTTGTTCATTTCAATCTAAAAAAAATATCTTCTATGCATAAAGTTAAAGTTTCAATTTATTGAGATGGCGAAATTATACATGGACGGAAATACCATCTATTATAATTGTCCTCCCAAACACAATTCTAAATATCCAATAAATATTCGATATCATAAATTTATTTCATCAATTTATAAAGAATGGGTATAAACAGTACGATTATAATTTGATTATAGCCGAAAAATACCGTACTTCATTTTTATCACAAGAACAAGTAAATTTTGGAGAGTGAATTATCTATAATGACGAATCGTTGATCGACTTTTTAAGGGTTCCAAATGACTATATAGATCAAATCAAGTTAACAATACTTGAAATCTATGTTAGGAAGGAGCCTAAGATTAGTCAACAGCGTTCTCCTTTATCAGTCGATGTTCATCCCTAATTAGAAAACGGCAATAGCATTGATGAATTTTCGATAACTCAATCTACTGATTTTACTAAAATGACTCATTATCAAAATATTCTTACCGGACCGATATGATTTTGATTTAAACAAAATCAATTTGTTTAGTATGGGGCCGCTTCAAATTGTCGGATTGAGACCATCTTCAAAGTGAATTTTTTTTGGAAGCCATGAAAAGGAAAGGGAGTGAAGGTGAAGAAGAAAATTTTTATAAAATGGAAGATTTTCTTCCACTTTATAAAGTAGAATAAAAAGTTCCACTTTATAAATTGGAAGAAAAAGTTCCGTTATATATTAAAAAGTAAACGTTATGGCAGTAACAGATAACGTTTAGAAAATTGAATATAGTGGAACTTTTTCTTCCACTAAGCTTATTTTAGTTACTTACTAAAATAGTGGCTTATTTTAGTTACTTTTATATTTTTGTGGCTTATTTTGGTTCCCAACTCAAGAATCTTAGGGATTGAATTTATAAAGGTAATCACGTATGTTGATGTGTATCTTATGAATATATCTTTTTTAACATGAATTGTTAGAATTAAAACAATTGATGCAAGCATTTCTAGGTAATGAACTAATCCTTTAAAGAGTGTAGGCTAATGGAATTCCTTCTTTTGTTTTGTTTTCTATTTCTTAACTTTTACACTGGAGAGTGATGCTTTCATTTTGAATAAGAGGACAGCACCAATTCCTCAATCTTTTGTAAAAAAAGACACTAATAAATCTCTAACTAACTAAGATTCGGGCGGACAGTAAAAAAAAAAAGAGTTATTTTGCATTGATTCTTTATTTATCACAATCCAAAAACGTTTATTAAAATAGAATGTTCTTATTCATTCGTGTTATATTTTATACATCACATACCATTATGCACAATATATTTTTATTATCAAGGAAGAAACGTTGGTCAAAGTGTTACGAATGAAGGTGACAGGCACATTACGACAAAAATGATCACTAGCGGTAATTAATTAATTGTCACTAAATATATATTTTTAGCGGTAATTGTCACTTTTTATATATGTCCCTAAAGCCTTTAGCGATATTGGTTCTAATGATAATTAACTAATACCGATAAAGGTTTAGTACTCGTTATTAATATCAATATTTGATGTTGCTAAAAATTATTTTTGTTGTAGTGACATTATTGTTAACATCAATATGTTATGGATACAATTCAAGTTATTGGTGTGGTGTTAGAGTTACGAATTTATTTTTTATTATTAATTTTTAAAAAGATTCATTTTTAATCCAAAAAACAAATTTGGAAGGATATTTTGAAACCCAATTTCAAGAGTAATCGAAATTCTACTCCTTTCTTTCATTTTTAATTATCATAATTTATTTTTTAGAGTCAAACTATAAGAATTTTGATCAACATTTTATTACGTATTTCTTAATCATATCAATATGTAAAAAAAATTGCAATTTTATAGTATATTTCATATAATTTTTAAATATCTAAATTTTTTGTTTAAAATAGTGAATTAATATAATCTAATTTGACTTTGAAAATTAGTCAAACTAACTTTTGAAAAGCGCAATATAACAATTAAAAGTAGACGGAGATACTCCCTCCATCCGAAATTATTTGTCATGTTGTGCTTATCGAAAGTCAATTTGACAAATTTTCAAATGTAAATTAGATCACATTAATTTGATTTTTTTAAACAAAAAAATTAGATATTCTAAAACTATATGAAAAATACTATAAATTACATTTTTTTGCATATTAATATGGTGAAAAAATTCATCTTACAATGTTAGTCAAAGTTTTTATAATTTGACTCTAAAAATAGAAAAAATGACAAACAATACCGAAGGAAATAGTAAATTTTAATTTTTATAAAAACATTAATTGTCCAAAAACCGACCAACTCAATAGTCAAACCTTTCCTAATATTACCAAATAATTATATTTTAAAAACAATTATATTATGTAATACATGTAAATTCATTTCAGCTTTATTTGTCAAATAAATATCTAAATTATTTGTAGATGATGTTCTAATTAACATGAGCACATTGTATTTAATTGTTTTTTTTTCCTAAACAAAACATTAAGGAACTTGGTTTAAGCAAAGATCTTTTATTGTTTTGTATGTATGTGTTGGCGAGTGTTAAAAAGAAAGGATAATAAACCATTGAAACACCTAAACATTTCATCTGAACCAAATTTATATTTCCTTATTCGAGTTATGTTACAAATACATTGTACTCTCTTGCAATATTTATATATCACGTATTCAATTTCTAGGACCTATGTCTCAATCAACCTTCTTATGTATGTGTATGATGATAAAGGTATTGACACTACATACATATTGAGTGGAGGAGCTGCTGCTGGAGGAATGAGGGTTAAACAACTCATGACGATTGGATGTTAGTGGGAACGGAGGGGGTGAGCTAGTAGAGGGGATGTGGATTGAACATTACTTAGTGGCATAGGGTAAGGCAATGTTGTGTAAGTGTTAATGTTGGATTATCTATGTTTGATCAACAAAAAATTCAGTGAGCATTATATTAGTATATTCTTTTTGTATATCCAATTTTAGTACACATCAAGTTATTTAAGGGTATCTTGATAAAATTAATGGCATAAAGTTAAATTTTGATTAAAGACAATTCATATAAAATCATACCAAAAATAATAATAATTAATGTACAATTTTTTTTTCTGTTCATACATATTATTTGTTTTTAATATATTATTTTAAAAGATATAAATTGCTTAACTTCACGTAGTAATATTATAACTTTTATAAAAGAAAAAATCAATTTTAGTTAATAAGATTTTAGCTATTTATTTGAAATACATTAACTTGGATCTTATTGTATAAACCTTATTTATTAATATAAACTTTAAGTAATTCCAATCAAAGTTTCTAAAATATTTTTGCTTTTTTATTTAAATTTTGTATGTTTTTATCATCTTCAATATTATTTTAAATGAAATTATAATCATTAAATTTTAATAGTAAAATATTTTTTGGCCTAAAACAAACCTTTACTAGCCTCATCGTTGAACCGTCCTTTAAGTTGTCTTTGCTTTTACTATATTGTGAAGGGTGCAGGGATCTGGGACTGAGAATGGAATACCTTGTTAATGAGAGGTTTTATTAGAGTATTTATCATTCTCTATGAGCTTCCAAAAAAAATTGATCCTCCCTTTCATTATTATCAAAAACTCTATTGTTGCTGCAATAAAACAGACATCGACAATAGATTAAAAAAATTTAGCTACAATTGACTTAGTGTTATTATATCTAGAGTCGCTATAAATACTAAGTGTAAATATATGTTATCTCCTGTAATCAAATTACTGAACCATAAATAATAAAAGATGAAAAGAAAAAGAAAAGAATTCAAGTCCACCGAAACCATTTTGTATTCTTAAGAAAATTTATCTTCTCAAGTATTCAAGGTTTTCTATTAATTCCTCCCAACATAAAATGGATTAATCATTGAAGAAGTAGCGATACCTCAAACTTCAATAATTTCAACGACCTCAAATGACAATAACGAATCACACACAGATAGAATCGATCAATTTTATGATGTAAGAAATGTATGCAAAAGAAGGGAAGAATTCAATGTAGACAAATGAAACAAAACCTCTCTATATAGCCAACAAAGGATAAATATCACAACTTTTTTTTAAAAGACAACCTTTAAAAAATGTCACCACGCTTTGGAAAGACATAACCTTTCAAACGATCACAACAGTTTAGAAAAAACACAACATTTCATAAAGGTCACAATTCTTTGACAAAGTCATAACCCTTCATTTCGTGTTCACACCTTAAAAACCCAACAGTTATACTACCCGGTAAATTATTACAACAAAATTCTTTATTTGTTGTTGTGATTGTAGTAAAATATTCTCACAGATGTGGTTTGAGAGAAACATTTTGGATTTGTCCATGTTCTAGTCACCATTTTGACAAGAAGTTTAGAGTCATTGGAGATTTGAAGCTTTCATTTTACAAGTCCAATTATCAACTAACAATTAATAACATTCACTATTTTAAATTCAAAAATGCAAAGATATGAACTTGTGAAGAACTTCCACATTGATGGTTAATAGCCAACACCCACCGGTTGAGTAGTCTGTTTATATAGTCTTGGACAATTCCCGTCTCATGATTTAGTTTTGGCTAATTCTGATGATCTCTGATCATTAGATTTTGGTAATTGTAATTCCAAATCAACTGATTTATTGAACTGCTTCATCATCTTCTCTTTATTTACTTCAATATTTTCTACACTTGTCTCCATCTTTTTGCCCCACAAAAATCCATAAAGCCCAGCTACTACTATGATTGATCCTACAACTCTGTTGTTTCATTAAAATAATGATCAAAGAAATGCTAAATGTTTCACTAAGAAAATTATAATTAGCTTACAATATGAAAAGAAAAAGTATTTGGCTTTATATATATATATACACTTACACTCCAAGGTATAATTTCTCACGAAGCAAAGTCCAACTGAGGAATGCGGAAATAACTAATAACAACGGATTGAACATCGAGACATATAAGGGACCTTTTTTCTCAATGCACCATGAGCTTAGAAAGTATGCAAATGATGTACTCACAACTCCCTGTTATCAACATCAACAAAAGAAAATTTGGAATGAAAATCTAAAATATTGTTAGTCAGATATCACAAGGATTAAAATCAACATTTATCAATTATTGATCTGAGACAAGAATGCAAATTAAAGCGAAAAGAGTCGTACATTATAGACCACGGAGATAGCTCTAATGGGATTTAAAGCCCATTCAGAAAGTTTTGGAACGACGCAGAATCCAATAATTACACTCTCCACACTTGCCATGAAGCACATCAACGTTATGCATGTATATGGAGCAGCATATTTCTCACTTACCCTTCCCTAATTAACCAAAAAACAAACAAAAAAATTTATCGTGTGTTTACATCTCATATCAATCAATAAACATATTCTCTTGTATACGGCATAATTATTCTTTAATCGTTATTAACTGATAAATTTTACCTGAATGATTAACCAAATGGCATAAGTGAGACTAGCCATTATAAGTAAAAAAGGTCCTAAAAAGAAGTTGGAATGGGAAGAATTGACATCTTTGCCTGTATTTTCTTCATATTTCCAGTGAAATCCTAATTGACCAATTACAACTTTTCCATGATATAATGACAATAACATTGCACCTCCAACACATACTATTGTACCCCAAAACTTGGTTTGTCCTGCTATACTTCTTAATCCCAATTTTTCAACCCTGCACCCACAAAATTAAAATTATTTACGACTATTTATTTTTTTATTTATTTATCATGTTCCAATTTGATATTTGTTTTTTTTTAGTTGAGAATTGTAGAGAAAATAATTAATTACCCCAAGGGTACGGCAATGATAAACGTGAAAGCTGGGATTAGATTATCAATGGCGGAAGCAATTGTTGGAGTTGAATTATTTAACCCAATAAAATATGCATATTGGTTCGCCGTTATCCTGCATATTTCATGATTAAAAAATATATTAAGAAAGAAGTATTAATATATTAATCTCAAATAAGTTAATATCGGTAAATATGAATTATAATCTTCAGTTTTTTATTCATAAAATTTAAAATTTTATGATAATGACTGTCTTACCCGAAAATAGAACACAAAAATATCTGAAAAAATGTAGAGCGTGTCATCTTGGGTCTAGTTTTCCTGTCACAAGATGAGGAAATAAGAGAAATATAATTAACAAACCAAGAAAAAAAATGTAATAAACGATTATATGTTATCGATATCCAATTTGCCAAGAAAAGAGAATTCATCGTTCATGCTTCCCATTTGTTTACTATATATAGTTAATGGGACAGAAATTTAAAAATTGCCTTATGAATACATTAAATATAAGTTAAGATATATCAATTTGTATTGTAATAGAAAAGTATAATATTGCCATATAAATTGTAATGAGAAACTGAAATAGCAAACATCCTAAAGATATAATAAAAAGTAACAAGAGCAGAAAACAACAAAACAAAAAAGCAAAAGGAGTAGTGCTACTAAAAAAATTATAGGAAAAAGGATAAATATCACCAAACTTTCAAAAATTATATGTCAATATCCTTCGTCATATTTTAGATTCATCAAAACCCTTACCGTCCAATAATCAGTACATATTTATCCCTTTCACTAACGGAGCACTGATCGTGTACACGTGCCGCAATCTAATTTTACGTAACTGTTTATAGCGTGGATTAATTGGTTATTTCCAAGTACAAAATTGAATAACTGCTAAAGAGCAAGAACTCTCATCGTTTCATTTTACTTTTAAATTTTATATTTAAACTATTTTCTTAATGGTGTATTTTAGTAAAATAATAATAATAACTTTTTTTGACCGTTTTTATCATTAAATAATTATATAAATAATATTTTTAAAATTTCAAAGCATATTTAATAAAAACAATTTAATAAACAACTCTTAATAAATAATTCTTTTAAAAAGAATGACAAGTCTAACAAAAGTGATATGATTGAATATGATAAATCTATATAAAAAAATAATAATAATAAAGCATCAATATCATTTTTTCATTATACATTAAATTTTCTTAGAACTTAATGCAAAAGCATCCCCAAAAAGTTGATGCACATATGAATATTTAATTATATAAAAATACTCTCTTGATTTCATTTGTATCATTAATTGAGACAAATGAAATAACATATATCGATACTTGTATCTAATCTTAGTAATAAGTAGAAGAAGATAGCTTGATTAACTCATCTTGAATTATGAAAATGAACTATGTAAATAAAAGGAAGAGCATTAAAACAATCAACTTTGAATTTTGCCCATCTTAATCATCTCCATAAGTAATGTTCTCAAAAACAAAAAACAAAGGTGTACCTTTCTAAGACATAAGCAAATGGAGCAATGGAGATGGTGGCAAAAATAGGCTTATATGCTGACTGAACGAAAGGATCCATGCCACTATCCATCACTAATTTTGTTATTATTATCATTCCAGCAAACGCAACTTGAACAATCACCATTACCATAAAAATCATTAATTCGTTCCCCATTTTCTTTTTTCTTCAATATTGATGAATAATTAGTTTTTGTTATTTTTTATAGGATATATAATATGGTGGGTGACCTAGCTAGGGAGGAAGGAGAAGAAAATAATATTCGTAGATATTTTCTAAATGACCACATATATATTGCTTGTTATCATAAAAAGTTTGATGATAAGCGTGATTAAAGTCATTTCCCATAAAAAAGTACTTTATATTATATGTTTTGTTTATATATAAGTTGCCCTTAAATTATTAGTCCAAAAAAATTATCTACACTTTTTTTTTTCTTGACGACATATATATCCTTGATGAATTTTGCTTAAGTGCAATGTTAACATGAATAAATTGTACACATTGATCAACAAAAATTTTAGGATCGAGCACTTCAAAGTTCAAATCGTGATTGATAATGAGAGAATTTTTAGCTCAAGGTTTGACATAATACAATGAACTTTTTTATTGGAAAAATGTGTGTTTGATAGAAAAGATTTCCATCGACCAAAAATATGTATACACAATAAATTCTGGTTTTTGCTCTTATAAAAGGGAGGTGTGATTCAAATAAAAATTGATTTGTTTACGGCCTTGTCAAATTGGTCTAGGTAACATTGATTTTTTATTTATTTTTTTTTAAAAATTAAGTATGATCACGTTTATAAGCAAATAGGTTAATTTTAATTTTTAAATTATAACAAAATAAATTTGAAACGAAGAAAATCCGTGAATTATCATAAAGGCTCCCGTATATGTAGTATCACTTTATATTGTGATATCGTATGGGTTTGAAAGAACATAATCATGATGAACCACTCAACATAGAAATCAAAGTTATCGTTCATGTTGATACAATGTAGATATTTGTAGTTTAAATTCATAATATTTAAAATTGTTATTCACTTTATTAAATTTGTTGTCTAGACAAATTAATACCAAGAGATTGAAACTGGAGGGAACAATAATTGTAATTTATATTCTTTCTGTTCACAATTACTTGTCATGATTTTCTTTTTAAAATTAAATTATAAAAATTTTTATCAAAATTTTACGATATATATTCATCATATTGATATGCAAAAAAATTGTAATTTATAGTACTTTTTCTGTAGTTTTTGAATATCTAATTTTTTTTAAAAAAAATTATGAAATTGATGTTATCGAATTTAACTTTAATTTTTTTTTAAAAGCGTAACAGGACAAATAAAAGTGGACAAAATAAAGTAGCTGAGAATTAAAAAAAAGACGCTAAGCAATTATTGAATAAAAGATCATATGTAAATTAAAGTAAGAAGATCAAATAATTGATCAATGCTTTGATCAGTGGAAATTGAGTCCCCAACGACATGTCACAAAAAAGGCATAAATAAATAACTTTTGTTTGTAACTTTGCCAATCTTTTTGTTAAAAAGGTTTAACAAACAGCAATAACAAGGGCCATTTTAGCTTTCTATTTACAATCGAATATAAGTGACGTTATACTCCTCTTCAGGCACTCAACTAGTACTATAATTTAAAACATGACGACAATAATTTTGTTGTCTTTTAATAGCATTCATTAGTTACATAAAAATAAATAAAAAATTATGCCGAAATCAAAGATTATATTATAAATATTCAAAATAAAATACGTAATATAAAAAATATAACTTTTGACTTGTATGTATGGTATAAATTTTCAACCAAGATCTATTAACTAATCATTCTTTCATCTATAAGTAGGGTCTTACCCAGTAAATCTATGTAATCATTAGTACTTATGAAGTAAAATTTTGATTTAATAAAAATATATATAAATATTATCACCTCTTGAATCAATTTAAAAGTTTAGTATAGTAATTTAGTTGTTGTGAGAAATTATTTAGCTCGTGTATTCTGTAATACTACTGGGCTCATAATTATATTCTTTTTACCACAAGCATCAACACCCTTTGATGATAATTTTTTACTACAACCATTAATTCCCTTGATGATAATCTAGATCCGCTACTGTCTATAAGGTGTCCAATAAAGAAAGGTATCAAACGCAATTGTTATATTTATGTACTCGTTAAAGTACTTTAACGGCAAGAATTTTGAACTTTTTTCTGCTCATTTGCCATTTCATGCAGATTCAAGAGCCTCGATAGCAAGCTATCGTGAATGACTCTCTCAAAGGAAGGTTAAATTGATATCATGTGAGTCGATATCTATTATTAATTTTTACATAAATCATGATGTTAGAATAAAACCATCCAAGTAAGGATTTATTTATTATATGTTGTAGAGGAATAGAATCCATCAATAGTGTAACACTACGATACGTAATGGAATTCTTTCTTTTGGTTTATTCTCCCACTAGAATGTAGTGCTTTATAAATTAAGCCTTCTTTATTTTGAGAGTACAAAAGATGAAAGAAAAAGAAGAATTGGAAAACCAAATTGCATGATCTTCTAAGTCCATCTTAAATTTGAATAAGAGAACGTAATCTCACAAAGATCTCAAATTTTATATTAAAAATTTAGGTTATTTTCAAATCTTTTTATAATAAGATCCGTATAGCTAAAATGAAGATAATATTTTTAATGGAGTAAAAAGTAAATGTACTAAAAAGGGATGATACCCATCTTTTGTTTATAAAGTTTATGAATAATCATTTCTAGACAAGTTTTAGACCTCTACGAAAATTGTATTGCTTTACACATCAATCTTGTTTTGAGGTGTTACTATCATGAATCAATTTTCTCATTATTAATACACTCATACGAAAGGAGGAACAAGCTAATTATTTCATGAAAAAATTTGAGCCTTATTTGAAATTGGGCTTTAAAACTTTAGGTATGAGCCTTAATTGGCCATTAACAAATATAGGCCGATACACTTTGTTATATAAGACCAGAGCCTGAGTGGGCTGTGTTGATTCGATCCAGCTCCTCTCCATTTTTCTTCTCTTTATTTTTCTCAATTTTTTTATTTGAATTAGTGACACGTGACATAGGTTAAAATAAATGGTTAAGATTTAATTTTTAAAGTAAATCTCTAACCATGAGTTAATTAATAAATATATTATATATTAAGTATTAAAAATTATTATAATATAACTATTTTAGCAACATATTATCTTGTCCATAAATATAGGGAAAAAATTCTTTTCCTAAATTTCTTTTATATAAGATTTTTTTAAATTTTCTTTTAAATAATCTTTTTATCTTATTAACCGAATAGAAGTATAGAAACTATAATTAACTATTCGTATGTACTGGTATCACCGTACTTATAATCTTATTATGAAATTGAAATTAGTTTGTTAAAATAGTTTGATTATCGCTAGGTAATTTATAAATTACAATTAAATATACTTTTAACAAAAGATTACAATAAAAATATTATATAAACGAAAAAAGAAAGATCCTAAACATATTTGAAAAGAGGAATTTTACTTGCCCAAAAATCGAACACAAAAAAATTAGGAAAAATGTATACATCGTCAATTTAGGTCTTGTTTCCCTGTGGTGAAACATAAAATCTTCAGTCCAACAATGAATATACGAATATTACGCAATTATTACTATGTCTCTCAAAAAATATTACTGTGAGTTTCTATAAAAGATTATCATATGATTATTTTTTATAAGAAAAAAGCAAGATATTTTTATAAGAGATATTCCTATGATAATTTTTTTCTATTTTGTATTCAAATTATTATTTAACAAGATTGTAGGAGTATATTTTATTGTACTATTTGCATGTGATGGTTTGTTGTATGCATATGCTTTAGTTCGACTTTTGTCTCGAAATGGATTCAAAGTCTGACAGTTTTACTTAAATTGATGTGAATTTAAATATTAATTGTTTTAATTTTTTTAGAGTCCAATAAATGCCAAAAAGCTATGATTATTTTAAATTTTATAAATTAACAAATAAAACTTTATCAGGTGATTATAGGTAAACTTCTTGATTATCATTAATAATAATCTAGTAAAGATCTTCACATTATATTCAACATCGAATCCTTAGTGTTTGGTGATAGTAAAAGTATTACTTTTCAAGCGTTAGCTTAATGAGTTCATTACTTAGATTAAGTTAGATTCATTTTAAACTACGTATACTCTAAAATAATCATAATACACTTTTTCTCATTTGAAGATAAAAAGAAATCTAGCTGTATTTTATTGAGAATCAAGTAGAGTATCAAATACTACGCACAGATCGATAAAATGATAATAAACAACAGAAAATATTTTGAATTACATATTTAAAATAAGTTAGAATGTATTATAAATTCTTAAATACGTAATAAATAAATAAATTTATTACGAAAATGAAAAATTATTTACCTCTCAAACAAGTAAGCAAAGGTGCAATAGAAATAGCTTGCGATAATCTGTCAATAAGATAAATGTACATATGGGTCCATCCCATCATCCATTACAACTTATGAAATAATTGCTGTTCCAGCATAGCCTAATTGCACTAGCACCATTACAAAAAAAGGCAATAAATCTTTTCCCATTTTTAATTTCTCAAATAGAATATACATTTACAGTGTAAGTGTATACTAGGCTTTAAAGAAAGAAGAATATATATTGATCAGTTGGGAGGATCGATGAGATTTTATTTATAATACCAAGCAGCGTCTTCAAAAACGTTTTTGGGGTGAGTTTCAGGGCGAGTTTCGAGGCGAAGAGTATCAAAAACGATCTGGGACGTAAATTGAAAACGTAGATTCATAAGTGTGTAAGTCCTAAAATTTGAGGCATAAGTCCTGAACATAAAAACGTAAGTCCTGGGTGTAAAAACGTACGCCCGAGCGTTTTTAAGGTATTTTTAATTTTTTTTTGCTTCAAATCAATATTTTTATTATTGGTGTAATGATATTTCTCAAATAATAGTGATAATTCTTTTTTTCTTCATTATTGAATATTAACGCTTTATCTCACATAAAAATCATAATTTATTAAAAAGTTTACTTTTGCTTATTTATCAGTAATAAAATTATAAAATTAAATATATATGCTACTACCCCGTAGATCCATTAGACTTACACCCCGTGTCTCGAGGCTTACGTCTCGCCTCATACTGTATAAAACGCCTCGCCTCACGCCCCCGCCTTTTAAAACACTGATACCAAGTCTTATTTGG